CCCGCGCTCGGACGCCCGCTCGGGACCCTCACTCGGGTGCCCCGTGCGCCCGCGTCCCGGGCTCGCCCATCACCGGCCCAGCCTGGGACGCGGAGACCCGGAGGGCTGGCGTGTGGAGCGGGTGGGGCGGGTGGAGCGCGTGGGCTGTGCCCGAGGCGGGCAGAGGACCTCTCAGGTCCACGAGAAGGGCAACCCGCGGAAGGACGGAGGGGAGTGCCAGCCGCTGCGAAGCCGGAGCAGATCTCAGAGCTGGCGTCGGGCGTAGATGCTCTCGGAACGACGGAGACGGGGAGGGGGGATTTCAGGCGCTGTGCGATGTGCGTGGTCGGGAAAGGAGGATCACGGGTGGGAGGACACGCGTGGCAGGAACGGTGAAGGGGACGCTCGGAGCGCAAGTTAAGGGCGACTGTTTCCACTCTCCTCTTCTCTGACCCTGGAACTGCAGGGACTTGGCGGGGTGCGAGGTAGAGCAGGGACCGTAGATAAGCATGCACCTTCCCCATCTCCACCCAGAGCCGACTCCACATAACGTAGACACTGTGAGTTTAAACCTGGCCTTTGGTGTGAGCTTCACCCCAGGTCAAGCCAAGGTTTGCATTCTGGCCATAGCAAAGGCGGGAAAGGCCCCTCAAGTGACCTGCCAGAGGCCCCGCTTATGAACCCACCTGGCCTGGCCTTTAAGGGCCTGGGGAGTCCCTCAGAAGTTGAAATAAGGGCTTCGGGCTGATTTCCAGGTCATGACCCTCGGATGAAAAGTGCCAGGGCTGTAGGCAATGGCCTCCCCTGACACACACAGGGAGGGATGTCAGCTCAGACCTAGTGCTAGTCCTATAGACCTGCAGCTTACTGATGTCCTGGGAAGACCACTCGGTCTCTAGGCCTCAGTTTCTCCTTTTGTGAAAAGAAGGGGCTGAACCAAGAGCAGTGCACATGTGTGATGTTTGCTTCCCAAGGATTTCAGGTTTGGAGGAGCTCTTGGGGTCTCAGTAGGAAGACGTAATGGGTAGGACACAAGCTGGGTTTGATCCTGCCAATTGCTAGCTGTGTGCTCTTGGCCAAGTTATTTAATGGCTGTGTCTCTAAGCCGGTGCCTATTTCATAAGAGGACTAAGTTAGCACATGTAAAGCACTTAGAACAGTGTCTAGCATGTAGTAAATGCTCAGTTAGTGCCAGCAGGTGTTGTTATTATTATTGTTAGTATTAAGGAAACCAGGTACAGAAGACATCTGAGAGGTTTCTGAGCTAGAAGGGAGATGGGAAGGATATCCCTCTTGGACACTAGCTCATTAATGCGACTCTTTTGTTTGCCTGGGTTTTATGGTTGGAGATAGAGCGAAGGTCAGATGGTGTAAGCGGAGAAGAGAAGGTTTCCAGGAGGTCTTGACCACCCCGCCGGTGTGTTGGGAGGGAAGGAGGTTCTAGCACTGGCAGTACACAGTGCTAGAATCTGGGGCTGTGGCGGGGAAGTCTTAGAAATGAGAGCGGAGGTGGTGAGTGAGGCCTGGATTGGGGCTGAGAGGCCACCTCTTCCAGCTCAGGAACCCAGAAGCCACCGCTGCGCTGGTCTGGAGAACGGGACGAATGCTCAGAGAGGAAGCTAAGATTAGCGCCTCATGTTGTTAAGTGTTTGGTCCAGAAGACGGACAGGATTCAGTCAAAGTCTCTCTGTGAGGAAACCCTCTTGTGACTCAGTCAGACCAGGATATCCTGCTTCCCATCCAGAATTCATTCTCTGGGAGGAATCTGTTATCAGTCATGCACACTTTAGTGAGAGTGTGAGGCAATATGTTTCTCTCTTCTCCGGTTCATTTGCATTTGAAGTTTCATTGCTTATTATAACCCCCCCTTTTTTTCAGATGGGGAATCTCCACCCCCAAGCTACAATGAGCCAGCAGTGGCTTCTGCTTCTTTTGTAGGAGCCCAGAGTCCAACTGTCTTGATGATGATGGTGACGTCATCCTGTACCCAACATAGAAGTTTACAAATCGCTCTCTCAGGCAGGCCCCTCTCTGATTGGACCCTTGGAGCCATTTCTGTGGTGTGTGGGTGGTTCCCAAAGGAAAGCGAGGCTCAGCAAAGTCCCACGAGTCACCTGGTGTCACGTCTGGGTTAATCGGGGGGCAGGGCAGCAAGCAGGTTCTGCCCTGGGTCTGTGTTCCACGCCCCGCTGGGGACAGAGTCAGAGCCGCTACCGTGTGACACCACCCCCAGGAGGGGCAGCAGCTGCAGAGGGGCTGCGAAGGGCTGGCCTCCCTCCCTCCCTTGCTGGCTTAGTTCTTTCAGATCCTAGGCCGTGATGGGAGCAGTCACAATATTCATCTCTGTCCTCAGCAAGGAGACACAATGCCCTGAGCGCTGCTAGCCTCAGTCAGGTAGGCCTCCGAGGGTGGCATGACCACCCCAGGCCAGGAGGCGCTTAGAACCCACCAGCACCAACAGCAGGGCAGCCCTGAGTTCTTAGTATGCACCAGTTACCTCTTGGGCTCTATGTTTCCTTGTCTCAAGCCTCACACCTGTTTTTAAGGGCTTTAATCACGAAAGCTCCGCCAGGTTAAAGCATCTGCCCAAAGTCACACAGCTAGCAAGAGGCAAAGCCAAGATTCAAAGCCGGAACTCAAGGGCCTGTGCGCTGATAACTTCTCTGTGCTGTCCCTGACGGGAAAGAAACTCTGAGAATCCACCCAACAGCCTGGCAGGCTCCCTGCGGGGCCGTGGAGGTACCATCAGTGTAGTTCTGCTGAAGAAACAAAGTATAACCTTTATGTTTTCCAAAGGAGACACATGTAATGAGATGCATGCCTTTTAAGCATAGTTTGGGTGGAACAACTTTGCGGCAACCCCAGGGACCCACCACCCTATGGGATCGCTGTGCTTCTTCACGATCAGCGCTTCCTCACCAGTCCCCAGACTACTTCACTTCTTTATTAGTTTTGTCCCTTTAGAAGTTTGTGTAAATGCAGTTATGTGGTATATAGATTTTCACACCTGGATTCTTTTGCTGAACATAACAATTTAAGACTCATCTGTAGTATTGCATATATCAATCACTGTTTCTTCTCCTTCTCCTTCTCCTTCTCCTTCTCCTTCTCCTTCTCCTTCTCCTTCTTTCTCCTTCTCCTTCTCCTTCTCCTCCTTCTCCTCCTTCTCCTCCTTCTCCTCCTTCTCCTCCTTCTCCTCCTTCTCCTTCTCTTCCTTCTCCTCCTTCTCTTTCTCCTTCTCCTCTTCTTCCTCCTCCTCCTCCTTTTTTTTCTTCTTCTTGAGACAAGGTCTCACTGTGTAGTGCCAGCTGGCCTTGAATTCACTTATATAGCCTAGGCTGGCCTCAAATTCACAGTGATCCTCCTGCCTCAGCCTCCTGAGTTCTGGGATTACAGGCATGTGCTGCCACGTTCAGCTCTTTATTCTTAAGTAGTATCCCATTATGTGAATCTATCACAAATTGTTTATTCATTTCTCAGTTGATGGTCATTTGGCATACTTCTAGTTTGAGGTAATTCCCAGTAAAGCTGGTGTAAACCTCCATTTACATCTATTTTGTAGACATTTATTTTTATTTCTCTGGAATAACTATCTGGATGAATTGTTGGACCTTATGGTAGATACATGTTTAACATATAGGAAATGGCTAGTTGCCCAAAGTGGTCCTATCATTTTACAAAGTAGTGTATGAAAGTTTCAATTTCACCACATTCTTGTCAGATATCATGAGTGTTTTTTGTTTGTTTATCTATGTTTTTGTACTGAAGAATGAACCCAGGGCCTATGCATGCCAGGCAAATGCTCAGCCAATGGGCTACGTCTGAACCCCTTACTGTCGGTTTTGATTGAAGCCATTTTAATGGGTATATATTAGTATCTCATTGTGCTTTTAACTTGTATTGCCCCACTGATGAATAGTGTGTTGGATATTTTTTCATGTGCATACTGGCCATTTAAATATTTTTCATTGGATCATTTGTCTTCTTGTTAATGAATTATAAGTATTTTATATATATTTTGGATACAAGTTTTTTTTGTGTGTGTCAGAATGTATTGGCAGGGGCCAGAGATATAGCTCAGTGGCACAAGTGCTTGCCTGGAAAATGCAAGGTCCTGAGTTCAATTCCCAGTCCCAAAGAAAGAAAGTATTGGCAATATTTCATCCCTGTCCATGGCTTGCCTTTTCGTTTTTTTCTTCATATCTTACAAGCAACAGAAGTTTTTAATTTGATGAAGTTTAGTGTATCTCTCAACTTTTTATTATATGGGTTGTACTTTTTTTTTTTGTATCCTGTCCAAGAGATTTGTGCTTACCCAAAAGTTGCAAAGATTTCTCCCTATGTTTACTTCTAGAAGCTTCATAATTT